CAGTGCTGTATAATGTTGAAGACCGGACGTCGAGTGTTTGCAAAATTTGCTAACTCAAAATAAAATACTCTGGTGTTGAGCACAAATCTTTCGAGAAAAATGAGAGTGTAACTGATTAACTGTTAATTTCACTGTTGTTGACCTAATTGTAAATCACTTGTTACTATTTTTTCACAAGAAAAAATTTTAGTGGTGTATTGTAAGACTGAAATTTTTAAACTGTCATATTTACAGTAGAGGACTTTAGTGTTAGACTAGTGGATATCAATTTGCTGTTATAGTATAATTAACAATACCTTTAATCCTTAAGTAATCAGAAAAGTAAATTGTTGAAAGATCAAAATCAGAAACCAAGTTATAACAACAAGTTAAAGAGTTTATTTTTTTGTTATTGTAATAATTTTATATTATATTCGTAATTATGCTGTAAACAAATGGCCAAATTTTCATGTACTAAGTCTGAAAGTCAGTATCGTGATACGTATCGCATCGCTACATAAGAATCGCAATATGCATCGCATTTTTACAAAGTATGCAATACATATCGTGAATCGCATCGTTTTGAAAAACAAGTATCGTGATATGTATCGTTACAGAAAAAAATGGCAATGCACAGCCCTAACACCATTCATCATAAAAATTAATAACTGTGTTAGGATTTTTTTCATTCTGATTCTTAGGAATTTCTACTGTTGTAACAGGGAAGTTATTAACCTACCTACAGACTACAGTACTGTAGTAACAAAAATAGGTAATATGAATTAGTGAATACCACAGTTATCATTTTTGTCTATTTTATAAATCATTATGTTCACTAAGTCTTATATTCTCTATCAAGACCAAACCCTGGGGTAAGAATGTCAAAATAATAAAAATCATGGTAATCAGTGCGTAACTTACAATATTTGTTTACAATAATTGATTAATATTTTACTCTTGAAGATCAACTGTGTGTCAAGGCTATAGATAGCAGAAAAAGTCGGTTAGTTTGTGATAACTATATTTAAATGGTAAAAGTAAGACATTGCATGGTAAATATGACTGACCTCAATTGAATCTGATTTGTTTGATTTCTGATACGCATGCATTAAGTGTTCCATAAATATTTCTACCATATAAAATGATCAGCATAAATCAGGTAACAGTCAGTCTTCTTTATTACCAATCTTGTTTAAAATCATGAAACATGCATGAAATACAACACTGCCAAAGAAAGTTATAGAAAAGTATAAATCAATCAAATAATCCATCAATAAGTAATATTAATCTTAAGACTTAAACATCAATGAATATTTGCCAAGACAATGTTATAACATGTAGTGACTACTAGTGAATACAAAACATTGACCTTGTTTCATCCTATTATAGAACCACATTTTCAATTATTAGATAATTCATAATGTAACATTAACATTGTGTCTTACATGTACTTAATTAAGATTAAATCATTAGAAAGCAAGACTTTTCAAAATATCCTTTAGAAAAGACAATACTGAATAGTTACATACAAGTACACATAAGTGTGATCAAGCTAATATCATAGTAATAATTCATTTCCTTTTATAAATAACTGCCTTTGTGATCATCTTAAGTCATTTGGTAAGATAACAAAATTCACTTAGAACTAACTGTACTGTACATTCACTGTGCTGATATGGATTTCCATGAACATAGTAATTTTACCACCAACAAGGACTTTTAAAGTATTGTTTCACACATGATAAATGCTTAAAACCTACTTACATACATGAACTAAACCACCTAGATGTCTTTTTACAGAATGTTACTTTCAACTTCTTATTGAGTAGGTATGTGCATATTTGTCAAGTATACTGAGCAACATGGCTACAATTCTGTAGGATATGTTACCCTCTACAGAAATAACAGATGCCAATATTAATAAGTCTTTTTTTTTCATTTCAAGATTTAATAATTTATCATGATGAAAAAGAGAACCAATATATTAAAACATAATAAAATAACCAGATAATTAATTAACCAACAGGAAATTTTACTGTAAAGAGCTTTAAAAAATTTGGATTCACTAATATCTGTATCAGATGGAAAACTAAAAATTAACCACAAACTCTGACAATTTAGACTTGCACTGTATCATTGACCTACATTGTAGAAAAGAGGACACTTTTGAGGTCAATATAAGACTGAGCTGACCCAAGATTCATAACCCTCAGGTTGTGTCGGACCATTACAAACTAAGAATGCCTGACCATTACAAAATAAGAATGCCTTTCACGTTTCATAATAGGAAAAATTAAAAATATTATCAATCACAATGAATGTCAATTACCTTTTATTCAATTTCATATCTCAATGTACAAATCAATTCATAAGTGATGATGCAAGGCTCAAGAGACAATTTTTAGGGCACTGACTTACATGTAGTATTTACTCATTGAACCTTTTGTAAATGAGTAAAACTTGAAATATGACATCTGGCAGGAGTATTTTTTCTTGCCTGAGAAATTCATACTATAATGAGCATTTAAGTTTAACATAAACTTGACCAAAGACAATTGATGATTAATTTTTTTTTTGCTTTGACAGATCTGACAATCTAAGTGAACAAAATTTTTCAAAGAAACTTTTTATCACAGACTGCATGCAGAGGGCATGTGTCTGCTGCTCACAAATGGCTATGTCAAAGATGCCATTTACAATAACGTTTAGGGGTTGAAAATATGAATCAATAGTTTTTAATATTTACAGAGATATTCACAGGATATTTAGGAAATTGCATCAATTGCACAACCATAATATAGATTTACAAAAACAACTGAATTATTATTATGGAGCTACAAGATGCAAGCTTGCAACTCATTTAGACAATGACGTCCAATGATCTACCTTAACTGAAACATTATTAAATCATTATTGGACAATATAGATGTAATAGATTTGTAGTAAATTTATTATCTTGATCACTTTTAGCAGGCATTGAAGATTTTTTTTAATGATGCAGCACAGCTGTTTTTACTGATTGCATAAGCACCCTATTGGGTTCACACAGATATAAATTAAAGTATGTGGGTCAACTTCCAATGGTAGATCAAAATATTTTTTAAATAATAATGTAAATAACACAAAATTACGGCTTATGAAAACTACTTAAGTTATTAAAGATGAACTTATTTCTGATAGATGTACCTGATATCTTTTCATAATATAAATGGCCGAATATCATCCGTAAAATTATTTAGAAAAATTATACATTATCATTCTTTGTGAAAATATAAATTAAGACGTGAAAGTTACTGACTTCATCATTTCATTTATTTGTTATTTGCAATGTGATGTATGGCTCACCTCAACAGTGTGTATAGGCTAGCTGTGACTCACATACAGCTAGAACTTTTGGCTAGCAGTAAGGGCCTGTTAGGCTATCCACTTCCAAAATATACGCTTACAGAAATAAACAAATCATGATTTTTTACATCCATAATACGGGGAAGTCAAAGACAGGGCCCGCGAAGCGGGCCCGGGCTTTGGCTTGCCCGGCTATAGACAACACGTGTATATTTAAAAGAAAATCAAATAAAAAACAATTAAAAAATATATAGAATTCTATACCTATCAATGAAATTTTCAGTGTCAGTTCTAGTCGGGCGCCGCCATTTACAATGTAGGAAGTGGCTAGCCGTACGGGCCCGTACGGCTAGTCAAAAGTTCTAGCCGTACGTGAGTCACGTACGACTAGCCTGGACACACTGTATTGGCTAGCCGTACGGCACTTTTCAAAATTAGATGGAAGTCGAAAATGCATATGCTATTTTGTGTCTTTAAACAACAATTTTAATCAAATCTCCGCATTTGTCCTAGTGAGTTCACTTTAATAAAGATGTTCCGCAATTTTGCAAAAAAAATAAATAAATACGAGTAAGCGTTGTATAATCTATCTTAATAAAATTAGGTGTCAAAGTTGCATGTTATAATTAACGTCCTTAATTTTCATGCTTATGATTTTTATGAAAGATGAATTGTTAAATCTGTTAATTAAGCACATGGATCGAATAAATTATGATCGGAGGGGATAAATAAACAAATAAAAAGAATATTAAAAAAAACGGTGAAAAGGAGAAATAGTTTAATAATGCAAACTTTCCTTAATGATGGACGATGGACAAACTTCTATACCGTCGGTAATTGACGCAATTATCGAGCCCAACAACAATTATTTTCGGTGTTTTTTTTTGTTTTTTTTCAATTTAAAAATTGAACTTAATGAAACAAAAAAGGATTATTGTCAAAATTTTGTAAACTATTTCAATTGATGTTATTTAACTGCAACCAAACGCTATTTTTTCTCTTTGCCTTGAGATGACAAAGTACATTCTTTACTGTAGCCAACACGTCGATTAATCTCTAAAAAGTAAACATTCTTGACTAAAATCCTCGCTTAAAGTCATAATTAACATATGCACTTTCGCCTTCCATATATTTTTGAAAAGTGCCGTACGGCTAGCCAGTGTGTCCTGGCTAGTCGTACGTGACTCACGTACGGCTAGAACTTTTGGCTAGCCGTACGGGCCCGTACGGCTAGCCACTTCCTACAATGTAACTCAATGATAATAGGCGGGGTATTCCGATAACGGAACAAATCTCAACTTTTCGGATAAATGATAATCGTCGAGTGTTCCGAGTGAAAAGGGAAGCGGTGCATGTAATACCGAATGACACCTTTAAAACGGAAAGAATGAAAGGAATTTTTAACGACTTCCCCGTTCATAGGCATTGCCTAATTTCATATTATATTAAAAAAATTTCAATTTCCTTGACATATTTCTATAAGACTGCACTGACATGTATGTTACAAGTACATGTAATAGAATCCCTTCAAAAACGTTATTTTCAAAATAATCTTATTTTCAAGAATAGCTGGGTCGAACAGAAACGGGACGAAACTGTCCGTAATTCCAAATCGAACTGGTAAAATAACTCCGAGAAGAAAGTTAAAAATGCATGTTAAAATAAAAATTGCATACCAATTTCCAGATCCAACTATACAGATTCTTTTCTTTTCAGTCATTTTTGACTTGAATTCCCTAAAACTATTCAATGACAAGACCGACGCTAGCTGTGGTAAAAAATTACTGCTGCACCGTTTGAAGCGCGTGAGAAGAACAAAATGTAAAATTTCTAAATATACGGAATTCCGCGAAATCGTATTACATTTTGTGTTCATCAAAATGATTTTTCAAGGCTATATTGCAACAAATTGTTAAAGTTCTATGATTTACCAAATAAAATATGCATTGAATTTTCAGCTTCATCTCGCTATTTTTAGAATGTAACTTCCTAGATCGGCTGTTTAATTATTATGTGTGCATATCTTTACTACCAGATCAATAAAATTTATATGAATCCTATTTATTTCCATATCTACATATGAACAACAACAGTCTGGTTTAGGTTAATAAGCCTTTGGCCTGACACAGAATTAACTACAACATCTCAGTACAGTACAGTACAGTACAGTACCAATAACAATAACAGTAATAACAATATAATGACGGACATTGATTAATAAATCTATTCACTATCAGCATATTGTAGCATATACAGTATGTATTATCAGATTGGTATGACACCTGAAGTCCTAGATTCTTAGTAGTACAGTACATGTAATGCTAACCTTATTCACATACATGAACACATGTAACATATACATGTAATGTAACGCAAATTTAAGCTTTGCATCGAAAATAAAATTACATGGCCATAATTGCTACTACTAAATTCTATAGCATGAGCGTTCATTGAAATGGTAAGTTATGATAGTTATATTTATGTCAGATATAGACACACATACATATATGCAAGTCGTAGACAATAACTACTTTTTTCATAAGTCAACTATGCGGGTCTCAAGTATGACACAAACAAGGGATATAATCATGATAATTATTGTATAAACAATTATCAAGAGTTCTAAACCTTTAGTTTTTGCTACACTATAACTGTAAAACGCTTTGGAATTTAACAAAAATTAACAACAAAAAGCGTATCCATTACACTTAATTTCCTATTTTAATATATCTTAAACACAACAGTTAAAAATGTTTGTATACATACAATCACATTCATTACATGTGTCTATTTTGTGACAAAAAACTGTGATTTTTTTATATTTATGGTATAGAAATTCCATTTAAAATTTTTGATTTTGAGAAACAGAAAAAAAGCACTATAGATGGATTAGCATCTTAATTACTAAACTGGTCCTTGTTGTTTGACACAACGAAAAGAATAAAGGTACAGTTAACATGATACATTTAAATGATACTAAACAAAGTTTGAAACTAGGAAAATGATAATGTTTGTGTTCACCATAAATATAGGAACATCTGAAAATTCTTATAGAATTTACAACGGTAAAAGAAACTTAAATTGATTAATACAGTTTGAGTCTAACGATATAGGTGTGTATTTCTTTCTAAGATTGTATTCAATTAAAAAAAGAAAGATAATTAATACAATTTTTAGTCTAACGGAATAGTTATGTATTCTTTGCTTTTAAATACAAGTGAGACACTTAATACAGTTTTGAGTCAAATGATATATTTATTTATTACTCTTTAGTTAGTATTATAGATTCCTTTTGAATCTCGAAGACTTTATGAATAAACATGATTGCTATATCTTTTACAATTGGTACTGAATAAGAGTTAATTAGTTCTCTGAGTTTTATACATATTAGGGTTTACTACTATTTTAAACATCGTATTGCAGTAAGTTTCACAGATATGATATTTTCTGTAAATGCAAACATGTAGTTAGATTTGGCATTATGAAATTCTAATCTTACTTTTTGTTTTGCATACTGCGCATTTGTTCTACAGTTGTTCTATGCCAATTTCTAAATTTCTTGTTATGACTTTTTCTATAATGAAGCATGTCTAACTTAGATATTTCCTAACATAAAAAGTCTTTGAAAATAATTTATTGTTTTTTTTATTCTTGCTTTAAAAATACTTTTACCAACATTATAGTATATACGTGAATAGTAACCTGTTTTTGTTCGGTATAGTCGTGAAATATAAATTTCTCTGGAATTAGTATTGTCAATTTAAAAATAGATATAGATCTGATTTAAGTGAATGCACATCCGTTTTTACTTCAAAGTCTGAGTAAAACTGACTTGCACTGAATGAAGATATATTTTGTACAGTAAGGTTCTGTCGCAAATGAATTAGTTTAAGATATCGAACCCTTTTCCTGATTATTTTATGTTGTTTAACCGATAGTCAAATTGAGTGTAATTGTGCTAAATGTTATTACAGTTATTATCCAGCTGAAAAAGGTTAAAAAGCAAATACATCGGATCTGGGATGTACTATCGTATGTTCCAGATCGGATGGACTTCCGGGTTATGATAAATACATGTATTTTGATTGAACATTGAAGAAAATTTACTTCCTAGTTAAGTTACTTCGGTTTTAACTTTAAACTGCAGTCGAATTTCACTGAAATGAATGGGACCAAAATTCCAATGAGATGTTACTTGCAAAAGTGTTTCTTGTTTGGATGTTTAATGCAGGTACATGTATCGCTTTACTTACACATCTTTTCTACACTTCGTCAACGCTCAATTTTTGTTACTGAAGTAACTTTGTGTGCAAGATTTTATACAAATACTGGTGCAAAATGGAAAAATAGATTTAGGTTCATTACATTAACATTTTTCCTTTCTAACACTTGTATTTCAGATAAGTATCCATTTAGCAGTTAAGCGGACAAGTCTACAAATAAGTTCCCTTTTATAATTTCAATTTGCAAATTTTCAATTTCGAATTCAGTGTACACTATCTAAATGATCAACACGATTCAATAGTTTGTTCTATTCTTCATGTAAAGAAGAAATTATACCGATAAAAAAAGAAAAAAATACAACAACAAAACAACAACAACAGTAACATGTATTAACATAATTATTTAATTTTAGTTAGTTTTTTTTTTACCTTATTCAATATAAAAAGCTTCATTTAATTATACTAATCTACTAACAAAATTAGAATATAGATCTAGCTCATATTGGTCTAACGAATTTATGCGTTTCAATTTCGAATAATGCAACTTTGGCTACAACTGGAACACAAAAGGGAACGCAAGTAGAAAATAAATTCATGTACCTGTTGTCAAATGCGATATTCAGAAAGAAGTTAACTATGTAAAAGGCACCTATGCAATGCTTTTCAAATGATTATGTCGATCGTAAATTCAACTTCCTCTTCAAATATTGTATTTTTAATGAAAGACCCTGTGCTATCTAATCACTGTTCATAATTTACATTTATGGCGTAAGCAAAACTTAAAAAAAAAAAAACACTTTAAAGAAGTAGATTAGACGAACCATTCTTTATTATTTTGTCGACAAAACATTATACTCGTATCAGTAGTATAAATGAAATCATAGTTGCCTCTCCCTCTTTCAGTGTTTGGATGGATGTGTCCTAGTGATGTAGAAGTTCAAAGAATTTACGTCAAAACTGGAGAAAAAGCAGTAATCAGTTTCCAGACTTCATTAAAATCATATAATGGCGTACTTTTGTACAGTGTAGTAAGATTTGATCATCTTAACGTTTACTCAGCCGTATTCTATGAAAACGTGTTACAAAATGAGAAGTCCTATTTGAACTCTGAGTTTATTGGGGATGCCAACACTGGGAATTTCACAGTGAGGACGGCAAGTGTGAAGTCACAAGATGGTGGGACATATATGCTACGACATAAAGAAGGAACATCGAATATGACTACAGAAGAATGTGCCATGTTATATATCCTAGGTGCGTGCGCGTGTGCATGCGCGTGCGTAATTGTGCACGTGTGTGTTGTGTTTATGAAATGAAATACATTTTGTCTATGAAATAGTTAAAAACAACTGATGATTTGAGTTTATTAAGTTAATTTAAAATGGAAGAATTATATATTCCTATATAAACTAAATATCAGTCAAATATTTTATTTCTCTCTTAGAATCCGGGCAAAATTAAACAATGCGCTACAAATGAATCATATATTAACTTTTTAGTAGAAGAGAAGTAAATGATAGTTTAGAGCAGTATCTCAAGAAATCTAGAATTGCTTCCTATTTCATGTCAAAATGAGTATGGTGGTAATTATTATTTGTACGCATAGCTGATATGGTTAGACCAAACGTTTGCTAGTGGACACAGCAGTATCATACTTGTTTATATTAGTTATCATTAATGCTCCACCCTTGTTCCCTCTAGGCGTTCGTTACCCTGCCGAGTATCTTACTGATGATCCTGTGTGGTTGGGTTCTGTTGAATGCTGCGTTAATTGAATGTCGCTTTTCCTTATAGATCTTTCATTTCATACTTTGTGTTTTGTTTCTCTTTCAGATAAACCAAAGAAGGCGACTGTTTATCATGACAGTATAAATATCCAAGGAAATAATAGTACCTTAACTTGTACCAGCATTTCTACAACATACCCGACAAATCACACACTAAATCTTACATATAACTGGATTATCAACAATGTCAGCAACCCTTCTAACCAAAGATATGTATATTCTTCAAATAAAAAGACAATTTTTATCAAATCTGTTGATAAAGAGGATGCAAACATGAAATTAACGTGCAGCGCTACAGAATTCGGCGATGAAGTTATTGGGTATACATCAGATGAAAGTGAAATGTCATTATTTGTTGTTATTTGTAAGTTGTTATTTTTTCTTAAAATGTTTTGTATCATTTGAACATAACCCTTTCAATCTCGAAAGCATTTTGATGTTTAAAAACAGAGGAAAACGTATTTGTCGACATAAAGTGGCTCTTTTCTATGTTTCTTTTACAAATTTTGGACGACCATGAAATTTGATATTCTTATCATTAACAATTTATCTCCAACACATCTCAAATCAGGGCCTTACGCAAAGTTTCTATTTCTATAGATGGACCTGAAAAGAACGAAATCAATACAACATCTCCATATATAATTATGGAAGGAGATAGTACTGAGACAATCAAATGCAAAGCAGACTGTTACCCGTCATGCGCATGCGTTTGGAGAAATGAATCTTCAGGAAGTAGTATTGGAGAAAACGGAAGTTTTGTTATAAGGACAATCTCAAAATACCAATCCGGGAATTATACATGTACCTGTACAAATACAGCAAAAGACAAGATCGCGACTGAGCAGACTTCTTCGTTGTATATCAAAGTTGAATGTAAGTAAATATGCTATCAATCAATTCCTAATTCATTCTCATTGTTACATCTTCTGGAAGATTTGAAGATAGGACGCTTCTAAAGCCATTGATTTTGAAATATGCTTCAATTTCAATATGACTTGTGTGAACATATCTAATCATTGCTTACTATGGACATACTGTTTTCGAATTATGGGCTCTGTTTCATCTACATATTTACAAGCTAGTACAAAACAAATTCCAACATGTGTTTAATTCCAAATAATTTCTTATCATTTTAGATATATTGATTATACCTTACGTGACTTTGCTTGTTTTAACTTTCACTACATGCATCATTCCATCAAATCTTTAAGCTCTTACATGTATTATCTGCCACCTTCGGGATGTTGTAGGGGTCTGCGATAAATTTGTTTTCAATAGTGGATTTTTGTACTCATATATTGACCACCACCGCTCACTACACAAACATAGATATTTTAATTAAAAATGTATTTGAACATGTGCTACTTTCATTTATATTCCATGTGCTTGAAAAAAATATTTTCCTTACTTTTTATTAATTATTTATTTCAGATAATAGTAAAAGATCACCAATTGCAGATAATTCTGGTACAAACACCTGCGACCATACTTGGATGATAGTAGGAATAATATTCGGGTTATTATGTGTAGTAATGAGTGGCTATGCAGTCTATGTTACAATTCTACTGAGAAGGACTAACATCAGAAAAGGTAAAACTGATATTTCGGAATAACACAGATTTTACATTTTGAGAATACGAATCGAAACTAATTGGAATGTTTATTGAAAATAAATGGCGTCGGCTAGAAATTTAAAAGATAAGGTCTTAATCTAGCCTGAGTAATTGATGAATTAAACCTCAGAAATGAATAATTTTGTAAAATGGCCAAACGTGTGCTTTATAATTGCTAAGAATATGTGATATGCTTATTAACAAAAAAAAAAGCATTAAATGTGAGGTTATTTGTGATAAATGTAGAAAAATGTAAACTAAGTATTATTCTGATTTCCATACGAAATATTAATTCACTATGAGTGTACTAATTGCCAAAACGTAGAGTAGCAAAAAGTGACTCAGAACTGTAATAGGTAAAAAAAAACACACTGAAATGCTTCAAAAATAAAACCTGAGAGCTTTTTCAATAGTCTAAATGGGCTTTTACTTTATTCAAATTTATTCATTTCAGGCGAGGGGGGATCAGCTGGAACGACTGATCCTGCGTAAGTTTCATTTTACATCTTATAATTTGCTACTGCTGTCAAATTTATTATCTTAATCTTTCACGCATCTTCACTTAAAGCATATTTAATTTTCCTGCTATTGTTTTTGCGGAGTAGCACTTAACTCAAGTATTACGTTATAATTATAACGGATATTTTATAAGTATCTTTAAACTAAGAATGTATTACAGATATTACGAAAAAGTAGAGGAAGATTCGAAAACTGCTGAAAATCGGAGAGAACCAGGTTCTTCAAACACGGACGAGTACGAAAACTCCGTAAAAATGTACACGGATCTTGTGCGATATTCGAAGGACGAGAAACAAACCTACGACATCATTCAAAGCAATAAATGAAACACTGGATTGACAGCCTAATTATTAAGATATTTGAATTAAACATTTACCATAGAGGCGATGCTAATCATTGTTATATGTAAGTAAAGCAAAGAAAGATGGATAAAAGTCATACGCGTACAGAAATGATGAAACATCGAAATTCTCACCGTGAAATACAACCATATTCTTAAACCAAATAATCAAACAGAGTCTGAAATTTTCATGTAATTTTGTGTGACTAATGCTTCCGAGGGATAACCCTTCTTCCAGAATTTTATTCGTTAGGCTGATACGTTGATACAGGACTGTGCATTTTTTTTATACATTTGCATTGTATACCTGTATACTGATGCATAAATAGGTTTATTGTATAGTGTATATCATTCTCTGGACTTGACAATACGTGTTGTACATAAGTAGCTTTTTTACTATGTGTTAATCTCTACCTTGTTGTACAAAGTTCACTATTTTGCTATTGTATTAAATATTTTTCTTGTGGCACTATATAAATAACACTTGGGTTTGTGGGTAACAGTGAAAATAACATCCGAGGAAAATACGCGAGATGATATTTTTTTCGAGAGATGATATTTTACTGTAACTCACAAACCCATGGGTTATTTATTTTATTACCCCGAACCTATACTGTGATGATCTAAAATTGTCAACTGAATCTAACTGTAACAAAATTAAACCAAGAGTAGCAATAACTAAACTGTCATTACCTTGCAAGTTTTAAGGTAACTGACTGTAGGCCTACTTGAGAAGTTATTTTCCGTTTATTCTTTAACCAAGTGATGATATCTACTAGTCATACACATACAATAAGCTGTGTTTTATTTCGAAAACAAAACACAAACTCATTTATACGTTATGATCTGTGAAATCTGATCCTTCTGGCTGCCTTCGATTGCTAACGCGGGTTTAACACTTTCGACACGGGTAACAATCGAACAAGGTAGAGTTGAGTATTACGTCATCAGTTTTGCGTACCTGAGTTACGCGGGTTGGACACTGCCTATCAGCTGGGTCACAAGTGTTAAAATGGCGGCCAACAACGTTGAAAAGGAGTAAATGAGAGGATTTTTATAGTTTTTCTGCTTTTGTTTGTTAATAGAATCTAATATAGCCTTTGAATTTATCTTTACTTTATTTATTTATATAAAATAGTTAAAGTAATTCAAGCATTATTTCCTCCGCCCAAAGGTGCAAATAATTCCCTGGGCGCAGCCATATTTGTTTACAACCCGATCAACTCGTGCTTGTTCGATTGCTATTAAAGGTACGCATGCGCATATGAGCTTTTCCGGTATCGACATTACTTACACGGGTTAGGCAATCGAAGGCAGCCAAAAATATTCTTCGCATGGTTTTTGACAAAGTGCAGTTACAAAATAACGATGATATCCTATGAAGGTCCACCATATCCATAATATTCGAGAAAAAATGAATCGAGAAAAAAATTGGCCATTTTAATTAATTTTATTTAGAAAATAGACCACGTGACCAGATTTTACACTGTTAAATAGTACTGTTACCTATGAAACAGCATAAATTCTTAGTCACGTGGCACATGTACACTTGCATTACCAGTAAGAATAACCCCAAGAGGCCTATGGGAATTTGACATTACGAAAAAAGTGAGGGGTAATAAAACAAAATGTATAACGTTTTGATATTGTATTATGTATTTGGACCGATGGCCTGGATTATTAGGTTAAAGAAATTGTATTAACTTGTATTGTCATTCGAAAATCTGTTTTGAAATGTTCAATTTTCTAATTATTATTAACTGCCATTCTCAAATTAAAAGCATATTGAATCAAAAATAAAAAAAAAATGTAAAAAAATCGAGAATGTTTTTAGATAGCAAAGTGATAAATATTGAAGTTGTACATGTATTATGAATGCATGGAAATGATCCTGTATGCTTAACAGTGGACTCTAGAGAAGATGCCGGAAATGGCAAGAAATAAAATGAGAAAATATTAAGAATATGCTGTGGTGAATTTAAAATGAAAACAATATAAACAATATCAATTTTGCACTTTGTAAAGCTTGTGTTAATTTGTTTTTTATCTTCAATTGTCATGAGTACCTTGTCTTTATTCTATTATTCGTTTTAATTATAGATATAATAAGTAAGAAAGTAGATAGGCAGGCAAGTAGGTAAGTATTTTAATTATCGTGACATGTGCATATCTATTACAGTACATATCCAATAGTAAAATAACACCCGGTCCTATGGAACTCTGAGTCACTAGAAATCATATAACAGTATATAAATAACACATGGGTTTGTGGGTAACAGTAAAAATATCATCCCGAGGAAAATACTGTTACCCGAGGCGTAGCCGAGGGTAACAGTATTTTTACGAGGGCTGATATTTTTGTTAACCACAAACTCATATCTTATTTATTTTATTACCCCGAACAAATACTGTGATGATCTGAATTTGTCAACAAAACTAACAGTAACAAAAATAAACCAAGAGTAGCAATAACTAAACTGTCCTTTCCATGCAAGCTGTAGGCCTACTGTACTTGAGAAGCTGTTTTTCTTTTATTCTTTAAGCAAGTGATGATATCTACCAGTCATAAACATACAATAAGCTGTGTTTTATTCAGAAAACAAAACACTAACCCATTTATAAGGTTATGATCTGTGAAATCTGATCCTTCTGTATCCAGAATATTCTTCGCATGGTTTTTGACAAAGTGCATTTACAAATTAACGATGATATCCTACAGATGTCTGTCCACCAACTCTATCTGTAACGTTTCACAGGTTAAAATTGTTAAATAATCCTTTGTTGCATGCTTTAATCGTCTGTATGTTCCAGTTTGACACAAAATTATTCACATTACAATAACTTCCGTTGAAAACGGATGTTTACTTTTTGACTATTCAACAAAAAGATATTTTATACGCGAAAAGAACTCTAGGGTGCAAAGAACTAAATTTTATGAGAGTCATAGTTACTTTGGTGATGCCATAGGCCCTATCGTCGAAAATAAGAATGAATCGAGAGAAAAATGGCGGCCATTTTATTTCATTTTATTTAGAAAATAGACCACGTGACCAGATTTTATACTGTTAAAAAATACTGTTACCTATGTAACAGTACAAAATTCTTAGTCACTTGGTACAATTGCATTAACAGTAAGAATAACTCCCAGAGGCCTATGGGAAATTAACATTACGAAAAATGTGAGGGGTAATAATAAGTATTTACACATAAATTGTGGTTTGCTTTTCAAAACTAAATTTGCGTCTGATTTGTTTATAACTAAGAAACTTAAAAAGAGCTGATTACAAAAGGGACTGGTTATCAAGCTAATGTATCCTGGTTATAAACGTGTTTAACGAGTATATGTGAGTGATAATTAAATTCAATGGCATTCAATTACTGACATTATAGAGCAGAACCTCATATGAATTGAATTTTCAGCTTCATCTGTTTTTAGAATGTAACTTCCTAGATCGGCTGTTTAAATATTATGTGCATATCTTTACTACCAGATCAATATAATTTATATGAATGTTGTTTATTTCTAAATCTACATATGAACAACAACAGTCTGGTTTAGGTTAAAAGGCCTTTGGTCTGAAACAGAATTAACTACAACATCTCAATACAATGCAGTACAGTGCAATAGAGTACAATAAATGCAATACAAACAATACCAATTACAAGAACAATACAATGACGGACATTGATCAATAAAACTATTCATTAACATCATATTGTAGCATTGTAGCATGTATATTATCAGATTGGTATGATATGGGACTTAAAATACCTTAAGTCCTAGATCCTTATCAGTGCATGTTATGCTAACCTTATACACATGTAACTTAATTTAACGCAAAGCTTTGCATCGAAAATGAAAATACAAGGCCATTATTGCTACTACTAAATTCTAGAGCATGAACGTTTAGGGGGTGTTCATTGAAATAGTAAGTTAATTACGATAGTTATAGTTATGTCAGATATAGGCACACACATTCACATATGCAGTTTAGTATGTGACAGATTGCCATGTATTGAAAAAGAAAATACAAGTCGTAGACTATTACTACTCTTTTCATAAGTCAACTATGCGTGTCTCAAGTATGACATATACAAGGGAAACAACCATGACAATTATTATATAAACAATAATCAAGAGTTCTTAACCTTTAGTTTTTGCTACGCTGTGACTGTAAAACACGCTTTGGAATTTAACAAAAAATAACAACAAAAAGCGTATCCATTACACTTAATTTCCTATTTTAATATATCTTAAACACAACAGTTAAAAATGTTTGTACAAACATTATCATTTTCCTAGTTTATGTATACATACAATCACATTCATTACATGTGTCTATTTTGTGACAAAAAACTGTGATTATTTTTTATATTTATGGAATAGAATTTCCATTTAAATTTTTTAATTTTGAAAAACGAAAATAAAAGCATTAGAAATGGATTAGTATTTTAATTACTAATTAAACTGGTTATGAATATCCTTGTTGTTTGGCACAACGAAACGAATAAAGGTACAATGAACATGATACATTTAAATGCTACTAAACAAAGTTTAAAACTAGGAAAATGATAATGTTTGTGTTCACGGTAAATAGAGGAACATATGAAAATTCTTATAGAATTTACAACGGTAAAAGAAACTTGATTAATACAAATTTGAGTCTAAAGATATAGTTATGTATTACTTTCTAAGTTTGTATTCATTTACAACGATGAATCTTAATTGATAAAATTTTGAGTCTAACGATAAATATACAGTTATGTATTACTTTCTAAGTTTGTATTCAATTACAACAAAGAAACATAATTAATACAATTTTGAGTCTAACGATATATATTTATTTATTGTATTGTAGATCATTCTTATGGAATCCAGAAGACTTTGTGAATAAACATTGCTTAATCATTTACAATTTGTACAGAATAAGAGTTAATCAGTTCTTTTAGTTTTATACATATTAGGGTTTACTCCTATTTCAAACATCATATTGTAGTAAGTTTCACAGTCATGATATTTTCTGTAAATGCAAACATGCAGTTAGATTTGGCATTATGAAATTCTAATCATAATTTTGTTTGCATACTGCGCATTTGTTCTGCAGTTGTTCTATGCCATTTTCTAAATTTCTAGTTTTGGCTTCTTCTGTAATAAAGCATGACTAACTTAGATATTTCTTAACATAAAAGTCTTTTGAAATGAATCATTGTTTTTTTTTTGCTTAAAATTTTTTTTCACCCACATACTAGTATATACGTGAATAGTAATCGGTTTTTGTTCGATATAGTCATGAAGTATAAATATTTATGTAATTAGCATTGTCAATTTAAAAATAGATATAGAACTGATTTAAGTGAATGCACATCCGTTTTTACCTCAAAGTCTGAGTAAAACTGACTTGCACTGAATTAAGACATATTTTATACAATCACGTTCTGTCGCAAATGAAATAGTTTAAGATATCGAACCAATTTCCTGATTATTTTATGTTCTTTAACCGATATTTAAACTGTGCCCTAAAAGGTTATTACATATCCAGTTGAAAAAAATGTTATATTTAAAAAGCAAATACATAGGATTAACTTCCGAGTTATGATAAATACATGTATTTTGATTGAACATTGAAGAATATTAACTTCCTTGTTAAGTTACTTCGGTTTTAACTTTTAAACTGCAGTTGAATTTCACTGAAATGAATGGGACCAACATTCCAATGAGATGATGACTGGAAAAGTGTTTCTTATTTGGATGTTAAATGCAGGTACATGTTTCGCTTTTTATACACATCATTTTAGATATCTTTTCTACACTTCGTCCACGCTCATTTCTTGTAATTGAAGTTATTTTGTGTGCAAGACTTTAAACAAATACGGATGCAAAATGGAAAAATATAGAATCAGGTTCATCACATTAACATTTTTGAGATTTTACTGTTATATTTCACACATGTATCCCATTATCAGTAAAGCGGACATAAATCATGTTCTGAATAGTTTAGTAACTTATCAGATCACATTTTGTACAAATCAAAAGAAAGCTGCTTTTTAAGTTTTCAAATATTCAATTTTGACTTCAGTGTACACCCGGTATTCACGACTAACACCTTAAGGAGTTTGTTCAAATCTTCATTTCAAATTATTCAGTAGTTAAAGAATAGAATATACCGACCAAAAATGCGTATATTTGTATATTCAGTTTAAGTCAGATTTTTTTATCTCATTCGATATAAGTGGCTTCTTTTAATTATACACCAATCAACTTATAATTTTAGAATAAAGATCTAGCTCCTTTTGAGATTGCTTGGTATTGCAAATATTTATATTTCAATTTCGAATGATGCAAATTTCGGATACAACTGGATACAACTTGAAAAAAAAAGAAAAAAAGAAACGCATGAAGGATATAAATACCTATTATCAAATGCAATATATAAGTATTTTCATTTTTGTAGCCTTAGACAAATATCTCGAGAAGACAGTTAAGTATATTGAAAGCACTTATGAATTAAATAATTTAGAATAAGTGTGTCATAAATTCCAATTTTTTTCAAATATTGTGATATTCGGTGTATACAATATTTATTCTGGTCCGATTGTCTCAAAGCTTATAGACACACTCTCGATTCCGTTCCTGGAACCAACCAATACTAGACAATGAGTGTAAAGTTTCTTGCTCAAGGAAACAACGGCTAGCTCCTAACATGGTTTGGGCAGGCACGGATTAATAGTCTGACTCGGCCATACCACAATTCCGCCACCTATTGTAATTTTAAATTACAGTTCGAAAGAATCTTTGCTATTAGAACTTTCTTTTTCATTTACATTTATAAATCAACTTTCCATATAAAGCGCTTTTAAAAGAAGCATTTCTTTTATTATTCTTGTTATAAGTGTGCCAATCCACCGATAACAGCACTATATCAGCACACATAAAATCATAGACATCTCTTCCTTTTCAGTGTCAGTGTATGGGTGGGAGTGTCCTGGTGATGTGGAAATTCAAAGAATTTATGTCAATAGTGGAGAACAAGCTGTTATAAGTTTTCAGACTCAAATAAAACCATCACATAACGTACTTTTGTATTATGTAACAAAGTCAAATCTAAATTACGTTTTCACTGCAACCTTCTTTGATA